ACATTTAATTAAGTGGTAAGAACAAATTGTAGTTCAGAATATATTCAGAATCAGACATTTCAAATTACTTCTAATTTACTTATTATACTATACTAGAAATCCATAGTAAACATGTTTTATATCTCAGGATTTCTGTTTTAAATACGCTGTGTGCGCAAATGCTTACAGGGTGAGACATATCAACTGATCTACATTATTTTAACATTTACATATACTTTCTTACATGTATATGCAGGGTGCTTGTGCCCCACAAGAATTCAAAGCCTAGTTAATAAATATCAACCAATTGTGATTTTTTTGAATTTCTTAGCAAATCCGTGAATCCGGAGGTCTACAAAGGTTTGTTGCGTTTATAACTGATGTCACCCCTCCAGAGGAAGAAACCAAGAAAGAGAAAAAGAAAGACAAAGGCAAGAAGAAAGGAGATGAAGGTAATTAATAAGTAATTAAAATTTAATTACCCAATTATTATATCTTCATAATTGGTTATTTATTCTATTTTATTTATTCTACAAGAATATTGAATTCTAATTGGTTAAGACATTTTCTAATATCATCTCATCTTTCTGTTACCATGGCAACAGGTGTACACATGAAGCGTTTTAACATTTTACTTATCCTATCCTACCATGTGATCCAATACTGCCAGCTTTTGCCAGAAGGGGTTCACTTTTCAAAGGGGGAGTTCACATTTGACAACTTTTGTCCAAAATGAATAACTCAAATGCGAGAAGGTAGTTACCAGTTTCACCACCAGGATGCTCGTTCGGGTCAGATAGCATGGCGGGTATAGGAGAAAGTTCCCTTTAACTTAAATTACATCTGTTTTAGTGGTTAAATTTTCATATCACCCTTATGTATCTAATAGTTATGCAAATTAAAATATGTCCAGTAAAAGAAAATGTTATCTGTCCAATACAAGAAAAGATATTTCACTTTTTGTGATTTTATAACATAGGGTCTATGGGTAATCTCCCCGAACTAAAAGTCGCATTTTCAAAAAAAAAAAAATTTTCAAAATTGATAAACAATTTTCGAAACCACATTTTTAGATGTACTTTTACATGTGGATTTCAAATATGACACCACTTTGACTGAATTTTGAATATTTAATGACGTAAATCAAGTTTATTTCTACTCGCATCTAGTCAATTGATAAGTGCCAGAGTCGAATGAACTGAGTCAGGGGGGTTCGCTATGGGCCTGACTGCCCCTTTAATTGTACAGACCTTGCCAATATTTTAACTAATAAAAAGTGAATGCTTGAAAAGTGCTTTTAAGGTACAGCTGGAAAGTAACATTTTGGTAAAAAATTGCTATACCTGCACATGTTATTTTCTGGTACAAAATAAAGTATGAAGGCATGTGTCAATTCCCTTGCTTTTTTCAGGAAAGTATCATTACATTGTCTTCTTTTAGAATATCTGGTAGGGGTTCAATGGGAACTCCAGGAAATTCTGATATTTCACACTTTCTATTTTTCCAAATTTTCTTTCAAAGTTTCCAGACAACACAGGAGCTACCATTGACCTGTTTCTAGATATTCTATAAGTAAACAGTGTAATAATACTTTCCTGAAAAAAGCAAGGAAATACACACACAACTTCATGCTTAATTTTGTACCAGAAAATAACATGTGCAGGTATAGCAATTTTTTACCAAAATGTTACTTTCCAGCTGAACCTTAAATTTTGATCTCATTAATATTTTATTTTGTCCTGTTTTAGATGACAGTAAGTTTTTGGTAAAAAGGATTATATTGATATTAGATGTAATTTATTTATATGCTAGAGAAATTAGGTTATTTTTATATAAATTATATTCACAAAAAGTTATGTAAGCACCATTTTTTGATATTGATACTTACTGTATTTTTAAATCACTTGCTTCGTGTACACTTTATACATATACATGTTCAGAGCATGGTCAAAATATCAGCTTTTTCATAAAAGTAATTTAACAAGAATTAAAGATTATCTAACCCATTCTGTCCAAGCTTACTATGGTCAGTGAATTATGTCACAATACTAATGTTAATTTCCTTTTTATTAAATGTTTTAACTTTTACAAAGTCACACTTGTTGAATATTTTTGATTAAATCACTGAATGCTAATGTAACGGGGCGAGTGTAAGGCCCGTGGGTGGCAATCAAATATGACGTACAGTAGATGTAGTTAAAATGTCTTCTAAAATATATATTTGAAATACTCTGTGTATGTCCAGTCACAAACTCTAGGTAACACTAACAAGTAAAGGGACAACACCCCAACTCAACTACATGTGAGTGAATGCTATTATATTGAATACAAAAACAGTACAAAACAATCACACCATGAAAAGCTAAAAACTGGTTTAAACAAAGGAAGCTAAAGTAGAAAGTATACAAAAGAATTGAAAACATTGGAATTAAATATTTGAAAAACTGGTGTAAAGTAATGAAGGGACCTGTTAAAATGACATGGATGGGGATTGGACAATATGAATAGAAGAAATATAAACAATGTGAAAATGACCATGTTACAAATACTATTTGCAAATACATGTAAAATGTAATGTACTTTACATGTATTTTTATATGTTGTAATTAACACCTATTGTTATTTATTCACCATTTCAGGCAAAAAAGGTACCGGAACTCTAAGAATGACTTTGCTTTCTCTTTAAGAGCTTTGCACAAAACTAAACAAGAAATATCCTCAGATATATTAAGAACTTTTCTCTTTCTATCACTAACAATGGTAAAATCATGATTGAGACAATGTAAGTCCCGATGTTCTGTATTAATGTAATCCATACTTCAGTGTTATTATTTGTACGGCAAGATACATTTATTCATACATCTGGTCAATTTTTGTAGTCTTACAACAATTACACCCACCCCCATTCTGAGAAAGTTTGTCAGTCAGAACAGGGAGGGGGCAACCACTTGATGTAAGACCCAGAATAAATTTTTGATAAGTTCATTTTTCTCTGATGAATTAATCACACCACTAGTTACATTAATTAAGCGCATTAATACTATACATTGCAATAGGATAGTTTCTAAATAGCAGAAACATCAATGAAATCTCGTGCTGCCATCTTTTATTCAGCTTTTAACTTGGGCTAGAGCTCCATTCATTTACATGCTAAAATCTTGGAAAAGTGGCTTAATTTCATGATTTATCAAAGTGTGTTTGTTGAATCTGTATAAAACTTGAATGATATACCACATGATGACCCTGTTTATGTACATGTTGTGATTAAACATGCAAATGTTGATTGACATACAAATAATCCACGGATTTAAAGAATTTTAGCATTGCATCTATGGACATTTGGCCCAAGTTTTTTTAAATTGTTATAGAAAATTATTCAAATTACATAACTTTGTAAATCAAAGCTATTATAGGCGAAAACATTTCACTGAATTCAATTATGCCATTTAAAAGAAGATAATGTAAGTCATTAAAGGTCTAATATGCAAGTCTCTTAAAATCTCACGAAAAACGAGATTTAGCGAGATTTCAAAAGCTATATGGAAACTATACTATTGATTAATTAAGGCATACTTAGTTCCTTTGTTAATTTTCTTAAGAAATAACTTAAGCTGAAAACTGCATAAAGCTTCAACTATTTAGCACAATTCTAGGGAAATTAGTCACTCTGAGCTAAGATGAAGAAAATATTCTTATTCCTATCTTTGGCTAACTTAGATCGACTCTTGCACCTTCTCTGCTTTGAAAGGTTATGGAAATAATCATATAGATTATAATGTCTAAATGTATCATTCTATTCAAATTAGAAATACTTTACCCTTTTATAAGAATAAGAAAACTTTTTCTTCTTGCTTTTTCTTATGAGGTTGTTGCTTTGATGCTTTGTTAAATAAAAAAATCCTGAATAAAAATATCATTTAAACGCTCACATATATGCATCATAATTTATATGGGGGACTGTTGAAGGAGGACACAACAATGTGTTGGATTTTTGTTATGATTACGCACCACATATGTTATTACCTCATTTTATTATTTAGCTGAGCCAAGAATGGCTGCCAGTGTCCTTCAGACAATCCCAGGTAGCGTTCTAGGTGGTAAAACTCCATATATAAGTGAAGGTATATACTTGCATGTGGGTAACGTAAAGCATGTGTATGTTTTACTAAATGTTCTACTTTGGTGTCACCAATTATCACTAGATGTCATGCATTTCTAGAAGGCCGTAGAATGTGGAATATTACCCATAAGCCTTTATTTTCTCTAGTTACGTTCCCATGTGGCAAAAGAGTAAAAATCTCAATCATTAGTGATGGCTTGACTTCATAATAAATTCTAATGCTGTTCACTATGGAGATTTTTCACTGTGCATGAATGATGTTGTATATAGTTTTGATTTAAATCAGTCTACCAGGAAAAGACTCAAGAAATACTTTAATTTGAGATGGTCCTTGAGTCCCTCCTTTAACTTTCATTGATAAAGGGGGGGGGGGAGTGATTTGATTGGCCATTTACTCTTGTAGTTGTGCACCATACTGAGAGTAACTTCGTACATGCATGAATTTGATACAAAGCATGTAGATGTAACATAGTATGTTCAGCCCCTTGCATCCTTAGATCTAGTTAGGTACTCACGTAGGAAATTTCAAGTTTTATCTATGGGGCCCGAGTTTTTTTATGTACTAGGCCCATGTTTTATGTTAGGCCTCAAGTTTTATACACTAGACCCCTGATTTTATGTACAAGGATCGGGTCCAGATATTTTGTTCAAGATGTCAGAATTTCTCATGCTTGTGTATCAGTGTTTAAATCGTCATATAAATACATTAATTGCAATACAAACTTATTTTATTATTGTTAAAAGACATACTTGTTCAAGAAATTATTGAATGATTATGAACTAATTATAATTACTTTGTCTTTCCTTTTTACGGGTTCTTGGTTAACAAGGATTGATGTATTAACATATAAATCATTACTTTTCTTATATAACTGATTCATTATTTCACTGCCATATTCCCCGCTCTCTGATTGATCCATACCTTGCATGTACGACCTAAAAATACGATTAATTCTTGGACTCAGGGGGTCTTGGTAGTATCATCGAAAGAGGAACACTTCATATTTATATCATTTGTATGATTATAAGTTGTTTGATTGTTTTACTTAGGTAAAGGAGGTCATGATAACGATGAACCTGGTCCGCCCTCTAACACACTACCAGAGGTGAAACCTCATGCTTGTATAGCTATAGCAAGAGCTGCAAAAAATGGTAAGGGTCATTACTGCATTTGAGTTCTCTCATAGATTCAGTAAAACTTTTGTATAGTGATAACCTATGGAGTCATGAAATGTGTTCACTATATCTAGGTGTTCACTATAAATAGGTGTTCACTATATGTAGGTGTTCACTAAAATAGGTATTCACTATATGTAGGTGTTCACTATCTGTAGGTGTTCACTATATGTAGGTGTTCACTATAAATAGGTGTTCACTATATGTAGGTGTTCACTATCTGTAGGTATTCACTATATGTATGTGTTCCCTGTAGATAGGTATTCACTATATGTAGGTGTTCACTATAAATAGGTGTTCACTATATGTAGGTGTTCACTATAAATAGGTGTTCACTATATGTAGGTGTTCACTATTTGTAGGTGTTCACTATATGTAGGTGTTCACTATCTGTTGGTGTTCACTTTATGTAGGTGTTCACTATAAAAAGGTGTTCACTATATGTATGTGTTCACTGTAGATAGGTGTTCACGATACAAGAGATCATCAGAATCAATCAGAACATCAAGAATTAAAAAATATATTTTGTGTTATTACAGCTGAAAACCGTAAAATCTTATAGAAAAAGGGGCGGAGAAGATGTTGATCTTATTGCTAGGTCATGAAGACCCCACAGTCCAATGTGCAGCAGCCCAGGGTCTTCGGGTCATGTGCGAGAATCTTCTCAGTACGGAGTCAATTGGACAATGGGGTAAGTAGGAAAAAGCAACACAACAAGTGGCAATTGGTGTTTAGCGGTTGGTGTTTAGCATTTGTTGTTTGGTGTCTGTAACAAATGGCAGGTGGTGATATTTTGCATGTTTATACATTTTAAAGTGGACTTGAAGTACAGTCTGATACAATATTGATTTTCCAGCATTAATCATGTCATAGATGTTAAATTAATTGTTATGCACTGATATAACAGCGTTGAAATTATCATTCATTATGTGCAGAATCAGCACTCAAAAATGTAGTTCTGGTGTCATATAGTTATTTAAGTATGTACAAATGATACCTTCTCTATAATCAACTTTAATCTTTAAACGTCCATCAAAACAGGATCATAGTATGTTCCAGAGGTCCTATGAGCAATGCTTTTTCCCATGTGCAATGCTTTTTCCCAAGGTACATTTGCTTTTTTTCCAAAGTGCATACTAAATAAAGAACAATTTTAATGTCAGAGCTGGAATATCCCTTTTAAATTACAAGGTCATAGTTCAACAATTTTATAACTTCAGCGCAGTCTGTTATATTTTGTAGATCGTATATTTGTGATTTCTTCAACTGGTGTGACCATTTGTTCACTGTAGCACTTGAGTTTCGTTTGGTAGATTGTGGATCATTTAAGTCTTTATCATTTGGGTCACCATTATAGTTTGTATTATGATGTATCCACTCTGATATATGATCATCAAATTCTATGTTAAGCTCTTTGTAAATCTCCTTGGCTTTTAAAATTGGATTGTTCGCAACATCTTCATATGCGATCTGCTTAATGAGTGGCATCCCTGCTTTTTCACGTCTGGGTAATTTGTTAATTTTTTCTACAAATTTCATGTTTGTCACAAAATTATAACATGTGTGTTTCATACTATTTAGTCTATTTTCTCTATCTGTTATATTTTCACGAGGTTCTTCGTATAAATGGTTTCTAGAGTTGTATATACCTCTTGGATCTCGTACTAGTAAAACAATAGCTGTGTCATTCCCAAAATATGAGGAAAGATTTTCCAAATTATCCAATGAGATAATTTTCACCGTCCTCAATTTCTTTCCTTTACACATTTGGTACGTAGTTTCAAATGTGTACTCGGTATAATTGTATCGAACCATCCAATAATGCCAGCCTTTAGCTATGTGTGACAGTATCCCAACATCACAATTCAGAATATCTCTCATTACGATTGCACCATATTTTTGTATCAAATCTCTACGATCCCATGTTCTTATCAGAGGTTTAAGTGGTTCAAAAGCGTAGAATATTTTCTCATTTTGTTTGAAGAGTTCGGACAAGAATGTTGATCCGCTCCTATAGGTGGCCATGATTATGATCTTAGTGGTGTTCACATGTTTAGTTAGTAAATGTTTCCTCTCATTATTTTGTGACATAGACGGAACTCCAGTTTGAAACCTCTCTATTATTGAGGATGTTACGCAATGTTTCCGATTTGTTGATCTTAGGATAAGTGCTATATTGATAGTTCCTGCTACCAAAATTATAAGTAGTAAACATCTCAAAGGACGCAATCTTAACATATTATCAAACTAGTTTTCTTGTTCACTGTTACTGTAATTGTTTCAAGATGAGAGTTTATTTAAGTTAAAGACAATGTTTGAGATATATAAAGAGTATAGCTTTATTAACCCAACATAGGGAAGTGAAGTATCAGATTCAAAAACTACATACTAGATATATTTTACATAGACTGGTCCATTATGCTATATAGGGGTGATAGGTTCTTAGAGCTCATATTGCAACATCCTTTCTTTTTTCAAAGTTAAAGTTTCAGTTTACAGTATCATGAATTATCAATTACAAATTCTTATAGCCTTTCCTTTTTTATCTAAAATGATTTAGCTTGAAATCTAAACCTCAGTGTTGACATATTTATACCATCATGTCCAGAAGAGTAGTGTCCAGTATCAAATTCTAGAGATTGTTTATGTTATAAACTCTTGGAACTTAACTGATAACCTTATGAGGTCAATGATGTAGTGTTAAAATAAGAATATAAGCTTGTAGTAAATGTAACTATAGCTGAGTATATGTCCACTTATAATAATTAATAGGTATTAAGTGTCTTGTGCCAAAACCAAAAAAACTGGACTGGAATTTCACACTTGTGCTATTTTAACAATTAAAAATATTGAATTCCAAGTGTTTCTTCCTGCTTGTGACAGGTTGTTTACATAATATATATTTGTTCATTTGGTATGACATTGGTCCTATATTTGTTCCATTGGTATGGCATTGGTCCTGTATTTGTTCAATTGGTATGGCATTGGTCCTGTATTTGGGCATTTGGTATGGCTTTGGGTATGCAAATTGGTTTGTATGGGAACATATTGAAATTTGACAGATTGGTATGGGAACATACTGTTATCTGAGGGTTCAGCCTAGGACCCCTGTCAAGGTTTGTATAGAGTGAACCCCTCGGGATGCCCCCTCCCCCGCGCGGCCCCTCTCCATGACGAATAAAACCATTGACTTTGATTGAATACGCGTGTTACAATGTAGTTTGTCCCACCTCTTCAGGCCCGTAGCCAGACGGGGAGCTGGGGGAGCGGAATCTCCCCCCCCTTGCCAGAAATTCTTTCAAATGCAGTTTTTCCCCATTCAGAGAATTTTTCGCTTTGATTTTTAGCCAAAATTGTGATAAAGCTCCCCCCTGGAAAAAAGCTCCCCCTCCTGGTAAAAGCTGGCTACGGGCAAGTTCTTTGTTTTTTTCTGTGTGAAATAAAATATCTGGGTGTAGTACTCCAAAAATCGGAACTGCGATAAAATATGATGAATATTATAATTTTAGCGTTTCCACTGGGAAAAGAAATAATTTTCCGCTACCTAGGTCTAGGTGCCTTCTCTAATTTACTATCCTCACCAATCGTAACTTTAAGAGTTTTTGTAAAAAATTGAAAAAAAATTGGTGTACACATGGTCTTTCAATTCTAGTTGAAAGCCCATGGTGTACAGTATTTTTAATAAGTGTTAAAAACATCAAAAATGATTGAGATTTACAAATGTTCGATTTATTCCTAATATGAGTTTACCTGAAGAAGATTTAGAAATTAATCAAAAATTGTAATCTCAATCATTTTTGATGTAGCTAGTGTTCAGTAGAATATTTTTTCATTGTTTGAAAACAAAACTCTGTTGGCATAGGAAATAGAATACACAAATTGAAACAATGAAAGTGTGACGAACTCAATGACGTCACAATATGCTAGTTGCTAGACTGATTTGTTGATATTCATTTTTGTTTACATCTCATCGAATCAACATTAAAATTACAGAGAAACAGCGAAGTAAACAGAGAAAATATGGCAACGAAATATGGTAAGAAAATTGTTGATTTTTTGTGAAAAACAATTGCGGACATACCATTTTAAAATGAAGGTTTATATTAGATATTGTCTTGCGAGATTAAAGAAGAAATTGTGAAAAATAAATTAGCCATCGAAACTATTTGAATGACTTCATCTTCAGAAGAAAAAATATAATGACGTCATAAAAACAATGTTGGCACTTGGATACAAAATTGTTTTACCATAGATGTCCCTAGAAACTGTTTCTGAATTTGAAAATATATTTGATTTGTAGAAAGTCCAGTTGACCATGAAGACAACGTTATTGGAGAAATTAACCCAATAAGACGACCACCACCCCCACAACCGAGTGACGTGTTCATCCCCTCTCCTGCGGTAGAGTCGTCAGAAGCTTGCCTTAGACACTGTGTAAGAGCTTTATTCAAATACAAGTAGCCCTGAAAGAACTTTATTTTACAAATGTGTTGGACAAATCGGTTAAAATTACTCTTGTTGCTGTGTTGTCAAATCAGATAGAAAATGTTATGTATTGTGTTTTGCACCGATTTGCACATTTTTTATTTATAGATTACAATTCATTTTTTCTAGTTGACAACTATAGATAACGATCTAAGAGTGTTGATGGAAGAAAGAAATAGGATCGTTATGGAGTTTGAAGCCCGTAAGTATTTGAACATCCTACTCCGCATAAGGGTCTCAATTATATGTATATTATATTTTTTTCCTATTGAGGAAAATATGAAACCGAACGAGCTAGGCCGAAAATATAAGTATTATGATTTGTTTCCATGACAATACATTTAAACCTGATTTGATTCACATGATTTCTGAAATACCACTGTTTTGTTTCCAGGTGGGCTGAACAAACCAGAATGTCCGATCATTATAAAGTACGTCGTGCAAGAAGTAAATCTAGAGAACTCTGTATCAAAGAAGATACCGCTAAGACAAAGAGCGAACGATTTTTTCAAGAAAGTTCTCAAGAAGCTTGGCCTAAAAAATAAACAATTAAAACACATGCACACTGTAAACAATGCCATTTCCACTGTTTAGTTCAGGATTGGAAACAATGTGCGTACTCAAATGAATCGATCTCATCGCCTTAAACCTGATGAAAATAATTGTGTAATTTCAAATATTCAAATAAAATATAAAATACAAGTCTTTGGAAACGATTTGATTTCTTCTGTTGAATTACGTATTTGCCATTTCAGCAACCCGTTTGGCATAGGTAGTATCGAAACATGGTAACAAGTGGCAAGCATCAAGTAATCGACTTTATAAATAGCAAAATACCTTATTCCCATTTACCTGGTATTCAAATGGTATATCGAAACATTGGACCAAATAGCGGCTATCATTTTTTTTCTGAATTTACATGACACGAGCTTGTACCCGAGTCTCTAGCGAAATTACTGGCGGACGAAGAAGGTAATTTAAATACGAGCCTTTTGAATCCCACATATGTCTGAAAGTGACATTAGTTCCGTTTGTCCAGTAATTTACACCATTGGTCCGGACTCCTCTTTGCCTCGTTTTAAAGAAATCTGTTTTTTCACCATTCAAGCCCATCGCGAAAGCCGGCGCAAAAGGTACAAATTTCAACTATGCAATTAAAACGTCTACGACCACACCGCATAATAGATCTTCTTAAAATGTCATAAATAGTGTTTTTATATCATTTCTATTCAATATAATTAATATTCACACATAGCTAGGCAAGGTGTGTCCGATTCCAGCCAATCCGAACAGAATATTCACATAATGAACAGTGTTTGAAAAACCAATAACACATGCAAGGTCACTAGTTAAACAGTTGCAATGTGTGAAAAGAATTTTAGCCCAAGACTCAATGTCATTGTAGCTGCTTCACACTCAGGCGTTTCCTAAACTTTGCATTCCCGCTGCTCGGTCATGCAAAGGTTTGGAAAAAACTCCTTCATGGTATGATTCAGCAAACAATGCATTGAGTCTTGGGCTTTAAAAATGCTTTATATTAACAAGGTATTAACGTGCAAAATGTCACCACCTGCAATTTTCTAGACGCCGACCGCCGAACACCGTCCATAAAATGTTGGAGACAACATAACAATCTGTCACCATAGCAACCAATTGAATTATCCATCTATCATATTATATCTGTTTATCGGAATTTGACTTTTCCGAATGAGTATAATCAGTGATAAATGGCTCTGAAAGTCCTTTTGAGTCATTTGTATTAACTCTTTCCTTTTCGAATTCACCATGGAGACGAGTACCGAACATTTCCGCTTCTTCAAATGTTTCCGGTAGGTGGCATCCCTTGGTTTCAGGGAGGAAATATGCTAAAACACTTGAGGCAATTGGAAATATTGAAAGGAACACATATGGCAGGCCAAACCATATAAGTTTCAAAAGTGGGAGCTGCGTAGCAATCAGTGCCGCAATTCGTGCAGCACTCGCTGCGCTTCCAAAGCCAATGGTCCTGGCAGGGGTGGGATATATCTCTCCCGTGTACAGCACGAGGACTCGCTCCACCGTCTTTAATGCTGCCAACGCTATCATAGCAGCTATCGTCACCAATAACTTCATTTTCACCATGATTAGCGGAATCATCAATAAACAACATAATCCAGTTATCAAAATGTAGATCATCATCGCCAGTCTTCTCCCCGATCTAAATAAAGCAAACCAAATTGTAAGAAACGTAGGTACCTCAGAGCCAGCCGTTATGAGTACCATATTTAAATATATGTTTCCTGGTACTAGTTTTCCAATATTCGTTCCAAATGCATAGAGAACAAACCCCCTGCTGAACCATAGGAAACAGACAATCAAGGTGCGTTGCCTGAGTCGTGGCGTTCTGAGTAAGTTCAGGAAAGACGCCCTTTCCTTTAATTCATCTGTGACCCCATTGTCTTTCCCTTCTAAATCGAATTCTGACGTCTCTTTTGTCATCTCTTCGGTAAAGGCAACATCGTTTATTTTAGCGATTGTACGCACCACAGCATCATACTCTTTATATCGTTTGCGGGAGAGAAGCCATCTTGGACTTTCGGGAAGTAGAATGGCATAAATAAGTCCGGGTACAGCGACACCCACACCAATTATTTGCAAGTGTATGTGATTTCGAACAAAGAATGCAATTATAGGTAGAATAAATT